GCGGCGTGCAGGAAGGAGTCGAAAGCCTAGGAGCCTAACTTCTGAAGCTTCTCTCAAAACATTTGGAAGCTCTCCACGAGGCGCTCCCAGAGTTTGTGAGGCCTGTCCCTGCGGTCTTAGGCTACGCAGGTGCCGTGACACCTGGAAACAAGGCCTGGACAGGGAGATCGCGATGGCGATGTGCCATCCGGGCTGGAGATGTTGAAATGCCTCGGGCGAGGTGTTGTCAAGACATTCCCGGGCGGGAGATCAGGGAGAGGGAGTATCGGACTCCCGTGCGCAAGGAATAAATCCCCCATGAGTCATGATGCGTGTAGAAGCATGAAGCATTCGGGTAAAATGATTGTTGTTGTTGACCCACCCGCGACCCGCCCGTGAGCCACCCGCGACCCATCCGCTACCCACCCGCGACCCACCCGCGACCCACCCCGCGACCCAACCACATTGCTTTGACGAAAAATCGGCGTCTGCGGCGGGCTCGTTGCATTTGTAAAATTAAGCCCCTGCGACGGGCTTCATCAGAGCCTCGCAGACTGCCGACGTCCCCGCCGCTCCCCCTCTTATCCGCGACTGCGGGGGCCTACGTATTGCTCGCTGCGCGCAAGCCAACCATCACTGTGAAGAAACAATGCTGAATGCACTTTGCCTCTACATCTGGAGCAAACACGGGCGCCCCGCGACCACTTTACCTTGAGGCGGGGCTGCCGTCATATTGCTCGCTGCGCGCAAGCCAACCGTCCGTGTCAAACAAAAACGATACAGACTGCACTGTGCTTCCACATCTGGAGCGTGCGCGGGCGCCCCGCGAACACTTCCCATTTGTTTTTGACAGCGACGGCGGGGGTGCCGTCATACTGCTCGCTGCTCGAAGGCCAACCATCCTTACCATCAACAAAAACAATATGGACTGCATTTTGCCCCCGCATCTGGAGCATGCGCGGACGCCCCACGACCACTTTGCGCTGGTTTTAAACTGCGGTGCGTCTGGAACCCGTGGCGCACATGGCATGCGTGGCGCTCCTAATCAAAATGCTGAGACTCCCTCGGGTGTTACTTCTGTGTTGGGAAGGCGGGTGGGAGTGAGCGAGACGGCTTGCGAGCGAAGGGGGTGCCTCGGCCCCTCCCCTACCCCGCCGCCTGGGCCTGGGCGGAGGGGGGGAGGGGGCGCGTGAAGTCAGAGCGCCCAAGATGGCTCCGAAGGGGCCTCAAAGAGCTCAAGATGGCCTCCAAGATGGCCAAAGGTACCTCCAGATGGTTCAAGATACCCTCCGGCACACATCCAAGAGGCCTCAAGAAGACGGCCCCAAGACGGCTTTAAGTGCCCTCCGAAACCTCTTAGGACCCCCCAACGAGGCCATCACCCTTCCAAACTTGTAGGGGGATCGCTGTTGTTTGCCTTCTCGTCTGTTCGGTTCTGATGGGCTCTTGAGGCCTCAAGGTGGCCCCAAGACGACCCAAAAGAACCCCTAGAGGGGCCCAAGAGGGCCCCAAGAGGGCCCCAAGAGCGCCCAAGAGCGCTCCAAGAGCGCCTCAAGTGGGCATCAAGATATAATGTGTGAGCCTTCGAAGAGGGGGGCGGGGCAGAATGATCCCCCAACCCCTCGTTTTGAGCCATGGGGCCCACGATGTCTCCAAGAGCCCCCCCAGACGCCCCAAAAGAGCCTCAAGAGGGCCCCTAGACCCATCCAAAGAACCCCAAGAGGACCCAAAGAGTGCCCCAAATGGCTCCGCGAGGACCCCAAGAAAGACCCAAGACGGCCCAAGACGGCTCCAAGAGACCAAGAGACCTCCGAGAAAGCACTTCCACGGCGGTTGTTACAGTGCATGCTTCTACACTTCCATGATCAAGGCAACTCGCCTGACAATATGTTCCTGGATGGGCTGGTGGGGATACGCGAAGCGTCAAGAATTCATCGCATCCTCCCTCTGCTCATCGCATGCGTAGTCATTCCCGTCTTTACCGTGGACTGGATGGTACTCGTGTTGCGCGATGGTGGTTCTCGCCATCGTCGCGACTACGTGTCATCCTCCTGCCCCTCATCATAATCATCCTGCTGCTCCGCGTCGTTCTCAACCTCTTGTGTCAAAACAATACTCTCTTACTCCTTCCATGAATTACGGTTCGCCATCATCCTCTAACTATTCGTTGGATTCCTCGTCGCCACCCTCTCTTTATGTCCCTCCGTCTCATCTCCTGGCTCGTTGTTTTTCCACCTCCTAGAACACGCCGAAACCACACATCTACACGTGCCATTCTGAATTGACCTCCTACTCCTCCTCCTCCTCCTCCTCCTTCTGCGACCGCCGCTGGCATTGACACAGGGTATTCTACACTCCCCTCAACCTCTTCCACCTACTGTCCTTTTGTTTTGTTGTTCGATGCTAGTGAATCATTTACACGAAGTCGTTCCTGTCACATCCCTGTCAGCTGAGAGCTCAACTTGGAAGAGGCGGAGGGATGCACACTGCGTGGGCACACGAAAGATCGGCCAGGAAGGGCGAAGCGACAAAGCGAGCACAATTTTTCCCCCACAAAACATCTGACCACCTCAGCTTCGATGCCTGAAACGGAGGAAAGAACAAACGGCCGCATATCCACGGAGACATACAATACCCCGTGCGAGTTATAAAGAGCACGCAGTGAAACGACTAGGAAACGGAACCTTGAAAGAAAGAGAAGGAAAAGAGAGCGCAGGACAGCGCCCCGGGAGAAGAGGGGGGACAACTACGAGGCTGCAGTACACTTTGTATGTACCCCCGCTGACGCCCATGTCAGTGGTACCTCACACAGAAATGGAGCCACAAGCAGCAGAAAGAGAGAGAGAGAGAGAGCAGAGGACAAGAGAGCTCCAAATACAGCGGAAAAGAAGCAAAGCCAGTAATGATCAATGTATTGCAATGGCGCCAGGAAGCCGCCATGCGCGAGCACTCCCAAGGCGGCAGGAGGACGAGCCCGGCACAGTTGTCGGGGTCGAGCGCCAGCGGCCAGGCAGGAGGCCGCCATTGCACAGGGCGGGAGACGAAGCCCCCAATTCAATGGAAAGAAAACCTAACAGAGCCAAGGGGAAGCAAAGAGAGAAAGCCAGGGGGAAACACGCATTCTGGAACAGCTCGCAGACCATGCTCAGAACTTCATGCCGATGACCCCCGGCCCAAGACGTACGCCCTCACGCCCATCAAGGACGCAACAAAGTAGAAGCAGGCCGCGCTGGCGTCAGTGCGGGCGTCGGCGCTGGCGTCGTCACTGGCGTAGTGGCCGGCGTTGGTGTCGGCGCAGGCGCCGCGGAATACTTCGGCGGGAGGTCTGGACCAAAGGCGCACCGCAGAAAGCACTGCAGGGTTGGTGTTGACGTTGGCGCTGGCGTTGGTGCGGGCGTCAGTGCTGCCGCTGGAGCTGGTGGAGGCGCTAGCGTTGGTGCCCGCGTAGGCGCATCGATGAAAACCGTCGTGATGTAGCCCAGGGACACAGTGCCGATGGGGTCAGTGATACAGTCGATGGAGTCGGTCTGTGAAGCACGGAGGAGGTCAGCAGGATTATAGTCGTTTGCCGTCGTTCACATGGTGACGTTGGCCCCACGCCCATCCGCCGAACTGGTCACAGTGGTGGACGAGCCGGCTCTTGTAGTCATAGCGCTGGTCGTGCCTGCAGTGCCTGATGACGTCGTGCTTGCGCCTCTGTCAGAGCAGGAGTCGGTGAGCTGGTCAGTGCGGGAATCGGAGAGCTGGTCGGTGCGGGAATCGGTGAACCGGTCGGCGCAGGAGTCGGCGAGCTAATCGGTGTGGGAGTCGGTGAGCTGGTCGGCGTGAAGTCGGCGAGCTTGACGGCTCGGGAGTCGGTGAGCTAGTCGATGAGGGAGCCGGCAGGCTGGTCGGCGCGGCCGGCTGCAATCTAGTCAGTGCGGGGATCGGCGAGCTGGTCGGCGAAGGTGCCGGCGAGTTGGTCGGTGCGGGAGGCGGTGCACAAAACGGTGAGGGCGCCGCCAAGGTGATCGGGACGGCAGGCCGCGATCTGGTCGGTGCGGGAGTCGGCAAGCTGCCCCAGATTTTCTGCCCCAGATGTAAGAGAGGATCCAGGCAGCAAGCGGCGACCGAGGGGCAAAGCGAGCACATGCTGCTTATGCCCTCTGGGCGGAATGTGCCTGCGGCGACCACCATTTAACCTCCCCACTGGCTGAACCGGTGACGTGCCAGCTCAGCCCCACCAGCTGGCTCTAGACCTCAACCTCCCCCATCCTCCTCCTACTCCAACCCTTCCTCCACCTCCCTCTCCTCCACTGCCGCTCTCTCTAACTACCTCTGCATCCACGTCCCCCTCTCTCCTCGTCCTCCTCCTCCACCTCGGCTGGCGGAGCCCGAAGGCAACGCATGAGCGCAACATCATCAGCTACAAAGCTGGGGTCAGAGTCCTTACCCGCGCTCGGCGCTTCAACCCCCCCCCTCCCCCCGGCTTCTGGCCAGGGCGGCGGGGCCGGACAGGTGGCAATCGTCTCCACGCGGGTGCCGGTACAAGCAGCCAGCGTGAAGGAGCGTCAGCTGGGGTTAACACGGGCGAGACAGCAGACAGCGGCAGCAGGGCCTCTCAGTGCTAGGACACAGCAGTGACCGAACGTTGGGCGCGAGAACGCGCATCGTCAGCTACCATGCTGGGGCCCGCTTTTGTGGCTGTCGGGCGCGGAATGGCGGGGAGGAGATCAGTTACAATGCGGAACCCCGTATGGCGCCTTCTCATCGGCTGCAGTGTTGGCACCAGCTCGGGCGAGGAGGGGCAGCAGGCCCTTGCGAGGGCCACCGTTGAACAGGATTGACTCGACGCCCAGGTTGTGGGGAGAGACAGACTCCAACTTCCGGTCTGGTAGCGAGCTCCCAGCGAACTCCTAACCAACCCTCTCCACCTCAGCATCCCCTTCCCCCCTTTCTTCGCGCCATCCCCCGCATCACTGCTCCCCCCTCCTCCCTCCTCCGTATCATCCTCCACCCCGCTGTGGCGCCGAGGGCCCCACACCTCCCTCAACAAGGATATGCCGGAGATGATCCGCTCGAGCTCCTGCCCAGGCTGTGCCACCGCGGGGTGACCGCCACGGGAGGTTCGCCGCCTGCTTGAGGAGGACCCCCGGGACCCCGCAGAGCCAGGAGAAGACCCCCCGAACGCCCAACCTCTCGTCCAACGAAATGCAATGTTCTCGAGGCTCAATCCTCGAACCTCAATCCTCGATCCTCGACCCTCGGTCACCGCTGCTCGAGCCTCGATCCTCGGGATGAGGTGGCGACACCTCCCAGTGGTGACCCCATCCCTTCGGCACTGCCCCACCTGCAGCAGGCCCTCGACCTCCGCAGGCACCGGGACGTCGAGCTCCTGGAAGGCTCTCGCTCTCTCTCTCTCTCTCTTTTTCTCTTTCTCTTCCTCTCTCGTTTTTTGTTGTTGTCTCTCTCTCTCTATATATATATATAAATGAATTAAGAAATAATTGCGTAAAACAATATAGTTGTACACACACACACACACCCTGGAGGCACCCTAGAGAGACACCCCACCCTGGAGGCACACTGGAGAGGCGCCCTTGCAGACGGTCGCATGTGCTTTCCAGGACCCCTGAAGCCCCTGCTGGGCCTAGGCGACGGGCCCCCATCGGTCAGGAGGGCGGCCAAACGGCACCGCGAGAGCGCACGGGGGCCCCAGATACCCACCAGATGCCCGAAGACGACCCAAAGAAGATCCCCTGAGAGGCATTCAAAACGCACAGAAGCATCGATGTCCTACGGTCTCGCATGACTTGGGGAATCGGTCTTCTGGGCTCCTTGAGACCGCCCAGGAGGCCAGAGAAGCACCCAACGTTGAACCAAGCGGGCTTCCAGGCGGTCCCAGAGGAGCCCCAAGACGGCCCAGCAGGGCCCCAAGATGGCTCGAAGAGAGCCGCACGACGGCCCAAGATGGCCCCACGACGTCCCCCCGATCATTCCAAGTCGTGGCCCGGTCGTCCAGGGAGGCCGCGGTTAGAAGGAGGGTGGCCCGGGGAAGCGCCCGGAGGCCCCTAGAAGGAACCCAGGCGGCTTCCAGAAAGCCCCAACAAGCCCTTCAAAAATTTCGTGAGGCCGCCAACAGGCTCTGCTAGGATGACCCTCCGCATGAAGAGCTAATGGGAACGAATTCGCAGGGTAGGGCGAGAATGAGGAAGAGGAGACATGAGGAAGGGTGACGAATGACACTATTGCAGGGACGATGCCAGCAAAGGCGACATTGAATCATCGATTAATGCTACAACTTACCCTACTGCCCTCCTGTCTGCATGCCAAATCTCAAGGACAAAAGTGCATCACGCGAAACGCCAATGCATCCTTGCATTTGTATTCACATACATGTATACATATTTATGTATGCATGCATGCATGCATGTAGGTAGGTAGTGATGTATGTATGTATACAGATGTGTACGTATACATACATACATATAAAAAATGTATCACTATATCGCGTGCAGGGCGAGGGAGGATCAAACGGATGAGCAAGAAGACGGATCAGCATAATACACTGAGTAACAGCAGCAACAAATAAGGAGGACCGAGGAGGTTCGAGGAGCTTGACCGAGGAGGGTCGACGAGGATATAGGTGGAGCAGGTAGACCGAGGAGTCAAGAAGGCTCGAAGAGGGTCGACGAAGATCCCAGACGGGGGGGATGATCAAACGGTATCAAAGAAAATGATCGAAGAGAGTCGTGTCGTGGAAAGTCGAAGAAGAGGGTAATCTAATAGAAATGGTGGGGCGGATGAGGGTCAAGAAGGATTTAGGAAGGACGAGGGCGCCCCAGGAGGGGGGCTTCGCAGAAGGATCGAAGAGAATCGAGGGTGGAAAAGATACCGATCGAGGAGGACTTGAATCGGACACTGACAAAACTAATTCTGGTAGGATCCAAGTGCATCGCTCGCGCCAGGCCCCCTGTCAGCGTCGCAGAGACCACCCTTGCGCCGCTGGCAGCAATGCGTTGCCGCGTCCGCCGCGAAATTCTCGGACAGGTATTGTGGAAAACGGTCAATGGCGAGGAGGCGCATCGCCAAATGACAAAAGACTGAAGCATGAGTTAACCATGTTTCTAAGTGTAACACTATTTCTAGAACATGTGCACAATACGCCAGAACATTAGAAACATGCTGAAATCAATGATAGGACTATTCGAGTGTCCATTGTCAGGGCGTGCACAAGGCTAAGACAGCTGCGTCGCAGAACGCTGGGTCAGGACGAGGTGCATCCATGCTAAGAGAAAGGTCCACCAAAGCAGGGGGTAGCAGCTAGCCACCTCACCCTTGCGCAACAACTGGCTTGAGCGAGGTCTCAGAAATACTGGCCTTGGGCCAAGACTTGTGCAGCAACTGGCTTGAGCCACTTGCTACCTTGGCGCACGCACTCCCCAAAGGGTTGTGTGTGTGCGCGCGCGTGTGTGTGTGTGTGTGTGTGCGTGCGTGCGTGAGTGTGTGTGTGTGCGTTTGTGTGTGTGCGTGTGCGTGTGCGTGTGCTTCTGCGTGTACGTGTGTGTGGGCGTGTGCGTGTGCGTGTGCGCGTGCGTGTGCGTGCGCGTGTGCGTGTGCGTTTGCGCGTGCGCGTGCGCGTGCGCGTGCGCACGCGTGTGCGTGTGCGCGTGCGTGTGCCTGTGCGTGTGCGTGTGCGTGTGCGTGTGCGTGTGCGTGAGCGTGTGCGTGAGCTTGTGCGTGTGCGTGTGTTGTGTGTTGTGTGTATTGTGTGTTGGTGTGTAGTGTGTGTTGTGTGTGTGTGTGTTGCGTGTGCGTGTTGTGAGTTGTGTGTTTGTATCTCTTGTGTATTGTGTGTTGTGAGGTGTGTGGATTGCGTGTTGTGTGTGATGTGTGTTGTGTGTGTTGTGTGTGTTGTGTGTGTTGTGTGTGTGGATTGTGTGTTGTGTGTGCTGTGTGTTGTGTTTGTTGTGCTGTGTTCTGTGTATGTTCTATGTGTTGTGTGTTGTGTGTGTTGTGTGTCGTGTGTGTTGTGCGTTGTGCGTGTATGTTGTGTGATGAGTGCGTTGTGTGTTGTGTGTGTTGTGTGTGTGTGTTGTGTGTTGTGCTGTTGTGTCTGTGTTGTGTGTTGTGTGTTGTGTGTTGTGTGTATGGTGTGTGCTGTGTGTTGTGTGCGTCTTGTGTGTGGTGTGTGTGTGTTGTGTGGTGTGTAAGATGTGTGTGTGTGTGTTGTGTGCGTTGTGCGTGTTGTGTGTTGTGTTGTGTGTGTTTTGTGTGTTGTGAGTGTTGTGTGTTGTGTGTTGTGTGTGTGTTGTGTGTGTTGTGTGTTATGTGTTATGTGTTGTGTGTTGTGTGTTGTGTGTTGTGTGTTGTGTGTGTGTTGTCTGTGGTGTGTGTTGTGTGTGTTGTGTGCTGTGTGTGTTGTGTGCGTTGTGTGTGTTGTGTGCGTGCTTTGTGTGTTGTGTTGTGGGTGTGTTGTCTGTGTTGTGCGTGTTTTGTGTGTGGTGTGTGTGGTGTGTGTGTTGTGTGTGGTGTGTGTGGCGTGTGTGGTGTGTGGTGTGTGTTGGTGTGTGGTGTGTGTGTGTTGTGTGTGTTGTGTGTGTTGTGTGTGTTGTGTGTTGTGTGTTGTGTGTTGTGTGAGTTGTGTGTTGTGTGAATTGTGTGTTGTATTTGTGTTGTGTGTTGTGTGTGTGTGTTGTGTGTGTGTGTGTTGTGTGTTGTGTGTTGTGAGTGTTGTGTGCTGTGTGTGAGTGTGTGTGTGTGTGCGGAAGGCCTGCGCGTCACGAGCTCGACCTCATGCCTGCGGGTCGGAGAGGAGGAGGAGGGGGAGGAGGAGGAGAAGATACAGTCAAGCTTGATTGAAAAGGAGACGCGAGAGGACACAAGACTCTTCCGAGGACCACTTTGCCACAGGAGTGCAGAAGACACGGGTCGCGAACAGGCAGGGTCGACCTACTGATCAAACTCGACTGTGTGTGCAAGGCGAGGTCCGCGCCCAAACCCAGCGGGGCACCGGGCGGAAGACACCGCTCACCTGGGCAGGGTGTTGTGCCTCGGCTCGGCGTGAGCCCGGATGTGCTGGCCCGGTCACCGCGCCAGTCACTGCACAGACTTTTTACCCACGATCCCCCGATGTGTGCGGGAGGAGAGGTGCGCGGGAATGCGCAGAAGGCAATGCCGCCTTCAGGACGCCCTCTGTGAGGCTGCGGACCTTCGAGATGTCCACCTCGCGGGGCATGTTTGAGGGCGACCGGGAACGGGCGAACGGAAGGAGAAAGAAAACATGGAGCCGAGAAAAGCGCGAAAACGAGGAGATGATATGAGATGTTGAAGAGACCGCGAGAGGACACGGAGGGCGACCGAAAGCAGGGAAGGGCTGCAACCAGCAGCTCAGGGCGTGGTCCGAGACTTCGGAGCGTGAGCATCCTGCGCTGGGCCCCGATGAGCTCGAACGTTCCCGCGCGGCGGGCGACGCGACAGACGGCAGGGTTGACCGCGAACTTGCAAGTCGGCCCTGCCGTAGTACTACGGCATCAACGTGCAACCAGAGGTTGCGCGATGAGGAATATCGATGCTAAGTAGAACCACCCACATAAGAAACACCCCGTACAACCGCAGCCCTACAGCAAACTCACCAAAGAAAGAAACCGAACAGGGGGGCAGGACTGTTTAGTGAGCGCCCAGAACTGTCTGGTAAACGCCCGTCATGGGTGTCGTGGGTGTTCTTCGAAGCCTTGATATCACGGGTACGTTGTTCGTAGAAACTTGCTTCCCAGAGGTGGCTCAGGGCTTCTGTAGGTGCCCAGGTCCAATGGGAAATGCAGCCAGCACCCTGGGCCGAATGTGGCCCGCGGTTGTAACCGAAGCTCTTCTCTGCAGTCCTTGAATCCCCCTAGGTCTCGATCGGTGGCCCCAACTTCGGCGGATTTAAAGCAACCAAGGCCTAAGATTCCGCCTCTGCGGCCGAAGACGCCTCGCCCGCTCCTCCCAAGTCTCGCCGCCTTTTTGCCTCTGGTCGATCAGATCGGGCCAGACCATATCACACAAACACGTTACATAAGCATCGCACCTAGCTGGGCAGGACCACTATAATCGACCAGACCAAGCATGGGCACTCACGAGCAGACCAATCCAAAACGGAGAAATGCCAAACAGTACAAACCAGATGAGAGCGAGCCAACCAACGGACACCTCTGTAGCATAGGGGTGCTCACAATTAAAACAAAACCAGGAACGCGGGAAAGGAACAATTGGGACTTAGCAAACGGAGGCAGAGGTACAAAGGGATGATAGAGCCTTTGATTGAGGGGAAGCGAATACCGATGCAGATGTGAAAAACGAAAACTGACATGGGGATGACGAGTAGAAATAGCAGCCTCTTGCAAGTACGTACTTGCGTACGTATGTGCATATACATCTGTATACACGTTTTGTTCAAGTTGTACGTCAAAGCGACCGACGTCGCATGACAAACCTGACCTGACAAGAACGGGAAGCGAATGTTCGAACGTTCGTTGCAGGTGTGGCATCACATGGGGACGTCAAAACTGGAACGCTTGTGCGAACAGGAGGGGGCTGCGCGGTGCCCGAGTCAAGGATCCCTCGAAAATATACGACGCTCGCGCTCCCGAGGCGCAGATCCCTCGTAAAGTACACGCGATACGCGCCTCCGAGGCCACGACCCATTGCAAAGTACTCTGGGTTCATGCCTCGGCGACCAGGACCCACAGAAGTGCAGCCAGATTCACGCCCTGGAACCGCTATTACTTGTATTGTGCGCAAGCGGTCAGTTACCACGCGGCCCCCGCGTCCACCTTCAAGATCCCGAGCTATCCGCCGTCCCCTTGGGGTTCGGTCCGGCTGGCTTGCAGGGGGGGGATCCGTTTAAACGGACTAGATCCTTCCCCTCCCAGGAATGCCCAGGATGCCTCCGGCCGTCTCCGGCCACTCCAAGATGCTCCAAGACGGCCCATTATATTTTGAATACGACCGGCGATAACCCCAAGACGGTCCAAGAGGCCTGTAACATGAAGCACTCTTGGATCCCTCTGGCGCCGTTTCCGGGCCCTCTTGAGCTGTCTTGGGGCTGTGTAACCCGAATTCGGGATAAGGAGATGGAAAATCTAGTGACCTTCGGTCCATCCCGCCACCGTGCCGGGGTATTGAGAATGAGACGAAGTGAAAGTTCGTTGGGCTCTCTTGGGAGGCTGCTTGTTCAAGTTGTACGTCAAAGCGACCGACGTCGCATGACAAATCCGCCGACCCTGTCGGCGTGTAATGGGTTGTTCTTCTCGTCCGTGCCTCCTGCCCTTTCCCACCTTCTGCCGTCTCCTTCTCGTTCGTCTCCCCCTCCTCCTCCTCCTCCTCCTCCTCCTCCTCCTCCTCCTCCTCCTCCTCCTCCCTCCTCCTCCTCCTCCTCCTTCATCTCTTCCTCCTGCATAAAATAAATTGACTCAAAGGGTTTCCCCTTCCCTTTGTTCCCTTCCCCGGCCGCGGGGGGGGGGTCCCGGGGAATACCACCTCCCTCCTCCTCCTCCTGAGCGCCTTTTGCCACATTCTCCATCTCCTTTTCGTTTGTCTCCCCCTCCTCATCCTCCTCCTCCTCATCATCATCCTTCTCCTCCTCCTCCTCCTCCTCCTTCTCCTCCTTCTCCTCCTCCTCCTCACACACTTCCTCCGCCTACCCTGTCACGTTGTCCTTTAGTTCCTTCCTGTGATCATACATCCCTTCGCCATCGACGGCCTAAACCTTCAGGGTCGGCGGCACCGGCCGTAAGACCTTCACAGTATCACGCATCAGAGAAAACCTACACTACCAAATCGGAGCCCACGACTGTACGTCTGACCATCGGGTGCGATCGCACGCGCCAAGACGACACCATAAGGTACCAGCCAATGCGCTTAATCTCGAGACCCCGCAGAAAGTGAGCGAGACACTGGTCGCGGAGCGGGCTGGTGGGAACCTGCAAAGCGTTTAGGATAAAAGATGCCCGCGGGGCACCCACTGACAGGTAGGTTTCCCAAATGATGTACCTGTATTTTGTCGCTGTCTGCGAGCGCGGATGCTGAATTACACGCTCTCGTCCGAACTAGCGAGTTCGACTGGGCCGACGGGCCGGTACTGTCACGGCTTGCCCAAACGTTCTCGGTTCTTGAAAAGAGGGGGCTAGTCAGTCGCACAAGCTGCTCACCACAAGGAGAATATCGCGCATTGACGGCGAGAGTGACCCTACCTCCGCGGATAACAGACACAGACCTTAGAAGAAGAAAGAGGAGGACGGGGGGAAGGGCGACGGGAAAGGACAACTTGCAACCAAACCAGGAATGCTTTCTGAGCGACGCCCATGCATCAGGCCACAATGGCCCTCACCATCCATGGCCCGATTCTCACGCACTGTTGTTTCATCGGGCTGGCCCAAACAAACAAATCGGCGACGAACACGGGTGTGGGTCTTCACACCTGTAGAAATAGAATGGACCCCTCGACTAAGAGCCTCACTGAACGGCAGACGTTGCATCAGAGAGCGTACTTCTGTCCGAGACCCAGTGCGCAGGATACAAGTCTGACCAGGCTGTCATTACCTGCCTCGACACCTTTGGACCAGTGTAAATCTCACGGCCATGTCCGACGCGCAAGTTGTCGATAACGATGACGTCGTGGACCTGGTACGGCTGGTGAAATGAATTGCGCCAGATTGCACGCTTCATGGCATAAAAGTCCTCAGGAGGAATGGTCTCCCCGCGCTCGAAAGTAGTGGTTGACCCGAGCGCCGTCTCCGGCCAGAACAGGCCCAGCAGGCCAAACAGTGAACGGTAATAGATGCCCAACATCATGGGCCACAATCCGTAGAGGCCACCCCAGAGCACCGCTGTTCGCTCGTAGTCGAGCGCCATGGAATCCTTGTGCAAGACATTTATGTGATTGAACCAGACTGGCTTATCTGACACGGGATGCCTGCGTACGAATGGCTGTAGATTTGTCATTGTCAACCGGTTCCGCTCGTCCCATGTGCATTCAAACTTCTCTGCGGCACAGGCCTCCAACACAGCTGTGCGGTTGTCGGTCTTGAACATTTCTTGCCAACACTTCTGCACAAGCGGATCAATTTTCGAGGTGCTGCTGCAGTCGTCATTGTTCCGAATGTACTTTACCTGCTTATCCTCGTATCGTTTGCGGAACGACTCCTGCTCCTGGAGTGTAACCCAGACACCATGGAAATCCGTCAGTGGGGTCTCACCCCCTATCTTTTGGTCCATCCTGCTGGCATAGAAGATCTGCATCTGCGGAGGTGCGTCGCGGAAAGACATCTCCAGGTGCGCCGGCACCGTGCGGTGCGGGCTGAAGTCCGCCGCCGTGTGCACGTACGTCGTGCCGCCGATGTTGCTTCGCGGCGATGTGCCTAAGTTCGCTGGCCCCATGAGCCAAAGGAGTTCTGGATTCTGCAGTCGGGTGCATCAAACAATTTCCCGTTGTGCTGACGCTCCTGGGGGGAAACTGGAGGGGTGCTGGGGTGGCCCCGCGACGGCCGAAGGGGTCCAAAGGTTGCCCGAACACGGCCCAAGACACGTCCAAGACTGCAGAATGAACTTCTGGTGTCGAGCTGGTTGAAAAGTACCCCTCCGAAGCCTCCAGGTGGCCTAAACCACTGAGAACTTCACGCTTTGTGTGAACGTGCTCGGGCTCCGCTGTGTACAGTCGGGGTGGATTGAAGAAGACGCGTGAGAGGACACAAGACCCTTCCCAAGGCCACAGTGCTGTAGGAAACATGGATCGCGAGACGGGTAACCTCGACTTGGCAGGGTCGACCTACTAATCTGGGCCGACTGTATCTCAGGCGCGGAGGTGGCTCCAAGGGGGCCCCTGTTTGCCCCAAGATAGCTCCACGAGCCCAGAAAAGGACCCCAAGACGGTCCACAAGCTCCAACCGGCTCCGAGCTGGGCTCAGATTTGGCCTTTTCGCGTCCCTGGTAGAACAACAAGGGGAAATCCACGAAGACCCCAAGAGACGCCTAAGAAGCCCTTCAGGGGAGGACAAAAAGCCTCCTAGAGGCCCCTCAGAGCCTTCCACAAGGCCACGACAACTTCTTTCCAAATGTTTCCGATGATTCGTGTCTTCTCACGATTTCGGGCTTCAATGTGCCATTCAAGCCCCGAGGTGACGACCACAACTGGCCCAGGAGGGGGGAGAGGGGAGGGGGAGGGGGGGAGGGGGGAAGGGGGAGGGGGGAGGGGCAAGCTATGTGCGCTCGCGTCATATCTGACGTCCTACCCCTCCCACCCATCCCTTACCATGGCGCTGATTTTCTCTATCCGCGGACGCGTGTCGCAGCGGACCTGTGGCTCCGCGCGCGCGTGCGTAGTGGGTGGTGGTGCGCGTGCGTGCGTACGTGTGTGCGTGGTTGTGGTGGTGGGTTGTGGTTGTGGTGTGGTGGTGGTGGTGGTGGTGGTGGTGGTGGTGGTGGTGGTGGTGGTGGTGGTGTATGTGTGTGTGTGTGCGTGTGTGCGCGTGTGTTGTGGTGTGACGTGGTTTGTGCGTGCTTGATGGCGGTGGTGGTGGTGGCGGTGGTGGTGGTGGTGTGTGTGTGTGTGTGCGTGTGTGTGTGTGCGTGTGTATGAATGTGTGTGTGTGTGTGATTGTGTGTGCGTGCGTGCGTGCGTGCGTGCGTGCGTGTGTGTCCGTGTGCGCGCGCGTGTGATGTGGTGTGACGCGGTGTAGCGTGGTGGTGGTGGGTGTGGTAGTGGGGTGGTGGTGGCGGTGCGCGGTGGTGGTGCGCGTGCGTGCGTGCGTGCGTGCGTTGGTGGGTGGAAGTGGCGGTGGGCGGGGCGGGGCGCGGTGCGGTGGTGGCGGGCGGATGGGCGCGCGAGAAAGAGGCCCGCGCTGGGGCGAGAACGCCATCCTGAACGAAGGAGGCAAAACACCGATCCGAAAATGAGGCCCACGCTGCAGCGGAAGCACGATTCGGAACGAGCGGAAGCCCGAAAATGAGGCCGCCGCCTCAGCGAGAACAACATTTTGAAAAAAACAAAGAAAACGAAAACCCAACTCCGGGAAATCCGGTGTAAAAAAACAGTACGCGGAGGGGTGCCCGCCATCTTCCGCATGCCATCAGGGGATGGAGGAGAGTGTATTCATATTGAATAATTGTGGAGGGCGGGGGGTAGGGGGGAGGGGGGAGGAGGGAGGAGGGAGTGAGGAGGGAGGAGGGAGGAGGGAGGAAGGGCGGAGGGAGGAAGGAGGAGGGAGGAGCAAGACAACTCCAACTTCCCGCACGGGCCCCTGGTCCAAGAAAGCCCCGAGGGCCCACAACTGCCCATGGAGGCTCCAAGGATGCCCGACGCTTCAAGATGGCGTCAAGGCGGCCCGATGGCCTGAGATCGACTGTGCTGGCCCGCGTGATATGGCCCCCAAGTTGACCCGAACAAGACCCGAGATTCCCAGAAGCAATTATCACAAGGGTGATTCGGGCGCCTCCCATGGAAGTTCTCGAGGGACCATGGTCAAATAACAACCTCTTGCGCAATGATTGTGGCCTTCTCGATTTCTCGACCTCAGATGGGCCTCAGATGCCATGAATGACCGCCGCAGGTTCAAGACGGCATCACAGTGGGCCGAACAGGGCTCCGACTAGATCCCCATCGGCCATCAGCGACTGCAAGAAGCTGCTTGCCACGAGTGCAACAGATGGCACGCGGTCTTAAACCCACCAGGGACTGCTTCCACCACGCAGATGTTGCAAGACAGCGGGGTGAGAAACACCGCCCCGCTCAACAATTTCCATATCACGAGTACCAGCACGAATTGCAACACCGATGGCACGGTGGCGGGCGGAATGCGTAGAGCATTTGCATAAACAGTCTCCAACTCAGGGTTGACGGCCAAAGCGACCTTCTCGAACGAAAGCGCGTCAGGAACATCGAACCCTCTGAAGATGAGCGCTCCGTGCTCAAATACAATCGTGCGGAACACGTCCGTGTTTTTGCGGAAGACGCTCGCGAGCCACTCGCTGTCACGAGGCTCCTCTGGGGACACCACCACGACGAATGATGCTCCGAGGTGGTATCTCAAACCCATGTCTTTGAGCTTGTTGCCCCAGCTAGTCGTTCCACCAGTCGAGGGCGGAAGGCTGTCTGCAATGTCGAAGCGCGAAACTAAGCGGATGATCCTGTCCGGATTGAGGAGTGAGACGGCCACGACCCCGACAATCGCCAAAGGACCACGCCATACACCCATGATAAAGGTTCGGATGGATCCGCTCACAATGGATATCCGCTACGGATGACGCTGGGTTGACTTGAGCCCGAACATCTGCGGAGCTGATGGTATCCATACTAAAAATGCCACAGACATTCTCGAACGTGACGCCCTGCATGCTGCACGTCACGATCAAGCAACAATAGCTTAATGATACATCCCCTCCCGATAAAGATCCTGCACTGTGAGATCGAACCACCTCGGCACCATTTGGACAATATCATTCACAAGGCGCCTTTGGGTTTTCGCGACGCAGACTGACTGACTGAATGGATGGCTGGCTCTGACTGGCTGGCTTCTAAAGGTGGTTACAAACAACTGTTTCAAACGCTTGAGGCAAAACTACAGCCAACGTGCTGACTTGCAAATGGGGATTTGCCGTGTGCGGCTGGAACGCTTGCGCTTGGTAAAATACCACGGCTGCACCCACGCCGTGTGCGGCTGGAAACGCTTGCGCTCGGTAAATATGTATGGCTGGAACTCACGTCGCGCGCGGCTGGAACGCTCGCGCTCGGTAAAAGTGCATGGCTGGAGCCCACGTCGCGCGCGGCTGGAACGCTCGCGCTCGGTAGAAATTCATGGCTGGAGCCCGCGCCGTAGGCGGCTGCAACGCTCCCGCTGGGTAACAATTCAATGCTGGAGCCCACGCCGTGGGCGGCTGGAGCGCTCCCGCTCGGTAAAGGTGCACGACTGGCTCCCACGCCGTGGGCGGCCGGAGCGCCCTCGCTGGGCTGGAACCCACACCGTGGGCTGCTGGAACACTCACGCTGGGTAAAAATAAAGGGCTGGAGCGGACACCGTGGGCAGCTGGAACATACAGGTATGTCGGAGGGAAGGGGGGGGGACGGGCTAAGGGCGGGGTCCTAGCATTGTATCCACGCCTCGCTCCTAAGCCGGGTCAGTCCGCGTGCTCGTCTGTCGGTCAGTCGGTCAGTCAGTCGTCGTTGTCGGTCGTCTCGGTCCATCGGTCCGTCGGTCGGTCGGTCCGTCGGTCGTTATCGGTTATCGTCTCGGTCGGTCGGTCGGTCGGTCGGTCGATCGGTCGTCGTCGGCCGTCGTCGTTTCGGCCAGTCAGTTGGTGGTCGGTCGGTCGTTCGGTCCGGTTGTCGATCGTCGTCGGTCGGCCGTCATCGTCGGTCGTCGTCGTTGTCGTCTCGGTCGTCGGTCGTCGGTCCACAGCCGGGACCCGCCCACGCCATGGCGCGCTCTGAAAGCGTGCCACTGGAGACAAAGCTGCTACGGATTCAAGGAGGTTGAGATCAAGACGTTGGACCCCGAATCTGCGCGACATGATGCACTCATACAGAGTTCACCGCAGAAAATAATCCACTGACGGTAGGTTGGTGGCAACGCTAGCCTGATATGATTTTGATTTACGGGTGGAAATGTGGATCGTTGGTGGAACCAGCGGGCAATCATACTTTGGAGACGCTATTTTCAGATTGAGGGGTATAGCATGGAAATTAAGACTGAACGTGGAAAATGTGATGGCGGAGAAAACTCGGGTGGCGACGCTTCCAACCATGCGGGTGGAATCTGGGCGTCAAGTGTCATTTACGGGTGAGGAGTACCTGGACTGGCGTTGAAACCGCGGGGCATAAATATACATATATATATGTATATACACATATTTATATATAGTAAATATTTATATGTATATATATAGAGAGAGGCATACACATACAGTTACATCTATGTGTTTCCATATTGTGATATATATATATATATATGTATGTATGTATGTATTGACGGAATTCGCCTGGGTGGCACATCCAGCCAATGGTGTGACGGGCAGCGTGGGGCGGGAAACATTTTACCAAGGTGTGCGGGAGTATTCGGGTGGCTCGTATCTGAATAATATTTAATATCTAGGCTGCCAACAGTTGTAACCTGAGGTGGGAGAGGTATGAACGAAGGGAACTATTGTAGCCATGCCTGCGTGTGAAGATGTTCGGATGCCGCCTCAAACATCAGAGGTGAGGATATTTCGATGGGGTTCATAGCCGGCCATGCTCAATATTCAAATTGCCATACCACCTGGACTGGGTCAGAGTGAGGGGGCCGAACGGTCATTCATTGTCCCTGGGTGCGTGGCTAAAACGAGAAACCGTGGTGAGAATTCTGCTTGTTGCGTTGTTGTTGTTGCTGTTGTTTGTTGTCGTCGTCCCACCCGCGACCCACCCGCGACCCACCCCGCGAACCACCCGCGACCCACCCCGCAACCCGCCCGCGACCCACACGCGACCCACCCGCGACGCACCCGCGACCCACCCGCGACCCACCTGCGACCCACCCGCGACCCACCCGCGATCCGGCCCGCGACCCGGCCCGCGACCCGGCCCGCGACCCGGCCCGCGACCCGGCCCGCGACCCACCTGCGACCCAACCCGTAACCCACCCACATTGTTTGAGCAAAAAACCGGCGCCTGCAGCGGGCTCGTTTTAGATTTTGAAAAGTTCTGCGCCTGTGGCGGGCTTCATCAGAGCCTTGCAGACTGCCGATGACCCGCCGCCCCCTCACTCTTATCCGCAACTGCGGGGTGCTACGGTAAAGATAATTTAGATGGCGGTTCCTCCCAGGAGTGTGGAAACATGCGGTGCAGGTCCAGAGCAGGGTAGTGGAGATGCACGTTGCCATTTGACCCTGGATATTGAAACACTTCCTTGGAGGACACGTGGGTTCGTGTTGTGTCCGCGGCGGGGAGGATGTGAGCGGCAAACGTACTTCAGTGTGGCACATACCTCGATGGCAAGTTTGGCAAGGACGGTGCGGCGAAGCTGTCAAAAAGACATGGAAGCTTGATCAGGGAGGTGGGCAGGGAGGTGGGCACGTGCCGCATCGTCGGGGGCGCACCTCCTGATCGGAGGCCCCGGCCACCCCACCGAGCGTCCGCCCCCAACGCCCCGCTCAAATCAGGCCGCTCCCCCCCCCCCCAAGAGGAGGAGGAGGAGGAGGAGGAGGAGGAGGAGGAGGAGGAGGAGGAGGAGGAGGAGGAGGAGGAGGAGGAGGAGGAGGAGGAGGAGGAGGAGGAGGAGGAGGAGGAGGAGGAGGAGGAGGAGGAGGAGGAGGAGGAGGAGGAGGAGGAAAGAGGAGGAGGAGGAGGAGGATGCCTTCGAGCACCTGGGCACCCGCCCGCCACCGGGGACCCTGCGTACGCCACCACCGCCTCTCCTCAGGCATGTTGTTCCACATTCCGCACGAGACGCGACGCCCATATTTGTCCTGCATTGACGCACGCACCGCGGCCACTGCAGACAAGCCGACCACTGTGGAAGCACGCACCCGCCACTGGACTCTCCCAGAAGCCGCCGGGCCTCCGCCGGCATCCGCTGGCGAGGCCGCCCTTCTCGTTCTGTTTCCGCCGGCCTCCCCAGACCCGCGCCGAGGCCAAGGGGCCAACTGCTCCAGTCCTCGAAGATCGACTCGGAGGAAGAGGGGGTTACCGAATCGGCTCGTGCAGGAAGTTTCCCCAGCGAGCGGGATATCGAGGAGTGCTCGGCGGCGTGGCCGAAACCAGCTGCATGCAGCAGTGGTCGTACCGCCCCCCCACTCCCGCTCCTCCTCCTCCTCCTCCTCCTCCTCCTCCTCCTCCTCCTCCTCCTCCTCCTCCTTCCCCCTCCCCTTTCCCTCCTCTCGGCCCCCCGAAGAGGCCAGGCCCCCTCTGGAGCGCCCTGCACGGCCACGGCGCGAGGGCACCTCGCCGGAACTCTGCGCGCGCTCGGCCGCCGCGATGAGCTCGTTCGTGGTCTTGCCCATGGCACTGAGCACGACGATGGGCCGCTCGCTCATCCGCGAGTGGACGATGCCCGCGACGCGGCGCAAGTGCGCGGCCCCTGCCAGCGAGGAGCCGCCAAACTTCATCACGATCATGGGATTGCCGTCCAGTGAGCCTGGGCATGCAACAGGGGGTATGTCGACCCCCATCCCAGGCTTCATAGGGCTTTCGGATGAACCGAAAATGTGGGGCCCAACTCTGGGATATTCGATGGGGGGTCGTCCATCCTAAATAGGGGTGCGTCCGAATAGTCCCCCTGGTGTGTATCACAAGGTTACTGGTGTACTCGAAGCGCCGCGGACGGCACCACCACCGGCTTTTCGCCTCCCGGGACTTCGCCACCGGGCTCCTGTCCAAGGCGTACCTTTTCCTGCACTTCAACTTCGGCACCGCCTGATCCCAGGGCTTTGCCCTCTCTCGGCCTCTACGTGAGGCGCCGCCTTCTTCTGCGCGGCCCGCTTAGCTTCTATCGGAAGAGGCTCGCTCTCGACCCGCAGATCAAAAAAGTATACCCCAGGGTTCCCTCCTCTTTCCAAGCGGCCGAGCTGTTCGTCGAACAGTCGAAGAGCTGCTGGCGAAACATCGCCCGCGAGCGCAAAGGGATCTCTCTCTCTCTCTCTCTATTCGAGCCTCGGCGCGCCCCCCGCTGCAAGCCATGCCGTCGAAGCCCTGCTATGACGAGGGCGCTCGGATGAAGCACGCAACTCCCCTTCTTCCCCTCCTTGGCGGCGCGCACAACGGGGCAGGGGGAGGGGGGAGGCTTCTTAGAAGGACGCTGATTCTGCGAAGAGGCGCCGGCCTGCATCTGCAGACAGGGCCCGCGCCTTCTGAGGAGCAGGGGTGCTTCTAAAAAGCCTCCCCCCCTCCCCCTTATCCCCTTCTGCGCGTGGCCGACGAAGCTTCCCTTCTTGCCCTTGGTCAGGGCAAGAACGGAACCTCGTCCCTCATTCGCCTGACGACGTACGCAAGGAACAGCCGGTGGAATTCTGAGCGCCTTCCGAACCCAAGACTCGCTCAGTATCCCAGCATTCAGACTGCAATGTAGTCAAGAGCTGGAACATGTGATTTGCACTTTTTGAGCATCCGTGCGGCGTCACTCGTGCATCTCAAATCTCCTAGCCTTTACTGGCTAACTCCAAAAGGCCGCGCAGGAACGCAGGGCCGCAGGGATGTGAGAGAACTAGAGCCGCACAAAGCTGCTTTCACAGCCCCCCCCCCAAAATGTCCTTACACTTAGGTCGGGCATGTCCCCCTACAGCGGGATTCTGGGCGAAAAAAATAATCAACACATACTCCCCCATGGTCAAACAATGCTAAAAAATTCCCTGACTATTTTTTGACTATGTCTTGACTATTTGGGAATATTCCCCCAGTCCCTTTTCTTATTATTTGTTTGATTATTGTTTGACTATTTGTTGACTATGTTTTGACTATGTTTTGGCGATTGATTGACTATTGTTGGCCTTTGTTTGATTACTTTTGACTGCAAAAAAAACCTGACTATTTTTTACTATTTTGGAATAGTCCCCCGGTCGGGGGACAGGCCCGACTTGACCTTACACCCGGCGTCTCCCTCGGCACTCAGCGCCGGATGGGTTGCGCCAGCGCGTCCCCGAAGTTTCCGTGGATGCCTCCGGGATCACCCCCCACTCGCCCCGTGCGTGCTCGCAGCGTGAACTCTGCAGCCCAGCCTCCTCCTCCTCCTCCTCCTCCTCCACCTCCTCCTCCTCCTCCTTTTCCTCCTCCACCTCCTCCTCCTCCTCCTCCTCCTCCTCCCCCTCCTCCACCTCCTCCACCTCCTCGTCCTCCTTTTCCTTCCTTCCTTCCTTCCGTCCTTCGCTCCTTCCTTCCTTCTTTCCTTAGCTCCAAACTGCAATACCGCCTCCCTCTGGACTTCAGGTCCAGCAACCGGGCCCTCTAAGCTTGATTCTCCATCAGGGTAACGGAGGACGAGTGGAGGTGTGAGGGACAGGAGGGACAGGCGCCCTGCGCTCTTCAGATATCTTACAGCGCTCGGGACAGGTAGACGCCACAAACTCAGACACTGGCTAGACACACATGGCTGAAGCAACCGACGGACACGAATTGCAGGGAGAAGCAGGGGGGAGAGGCCTCCGCAAATCCGCAGGTCCACAAACAAGTGCAGAAAACGTTAACAAAATGCCGAATACCTCCTCCTCGTCACCCGTCAGCCCAATCCTTGACCTGAAAACTGCCACCAGAGAACTCTGAAAGTTTCAAGGTTGCGTGGCATCGTCTTTCAGGCTGGCCTCTTAGCGCATCACGTTTCGTAAACCTCCTCCTCCTCCTCCTCCTCTCCTCTCCTCCTCCTCCACGCCCCCCTCGAAATTTTATCTTCAACATGCGTCCTCGGACCCCTCCCAGGTGCCATCTTGCCTCGTTTCTCGTCCTGGGCAGATGTCTGACGGCCCTGGGGCAACGAAGTGCCCCCCCCCCCACACAAGAAGCCGAACGTGACGAAAAGCTTCCGGCGCGATGTGTTCGGCCATGGG